TATAATATTAATGATAAATGGATTTAATATTTTTACATAAATTAGATATTTCATATAACATAATATATTTTTATCTATTTAAATTCACATAAAAATATAATGAATTAATGTGTAAAAATAAATATGATATAACTAAAGAAAGTAAATGAAATAAAATATGAAATTTCACTATCACATAAATAGTAACATCTTAAAAGTATAATAATATAAAATTTATGTTGGTTGGTTATCATAAAATTAATATCTTAATGTCTTATATCTTGATTAGTTTTGTTAGTTTTATTTTAAATGTTATTTTTTTATTATTTTTAATTAAAATTTTTTCTTTTCAATTATTCAAATAAATTTATATTAATTATTTTTAATACCTAATTAATCATAATTTTTATAGATTTAACACTTTTCTCACTATTATATTACATGAAGTGATGCACTTACTAAAATAATTTTAGCGCATCCCTAGACGTAAAAGTAAAATATAAAAAAGTGAACTTCTTTCTCATTTGCTCATACATGCATAAAATTGGCATACAGTCTTTCTTTAGATGATATGTCAAATTTTTATTGATAATTTATACCATGTCAACGGTATAAATGTTGCGTGGACCTCTTCAAGAGGATTGCCAGGTCCTTCTGGTTGCACTTATTAGAGTATGTAACATCAAACCAAATTTTTAGGCCAAATATCTTACTTGTCCCCTAAACATTTTTTTTTTCTACAATCAGTACCCTAAACTAATTTGCTTATCAATTAACATCCTCTATAATTAAAAAATCATGAATAACCCAAAAATTAACAAAGATGTTATGTGCCTCTTATTTAAACATTAAATTCTATTAATGTTTGATGACATGTCAAACTTTTGGTGATGTGTATGAATTTCACATGACAAAGCATATGAGCCTTGGTTCTCACTAGCACCACCACCAAAACTTCCCCCAAATCCCTTACTTCTAGGTTCTCATTAGCCTTTGTTCCCCTTAAGCTCTGTTGTTGTCACTACTGCTCAAGGCCCACTTCTCTTTCCTTCTCCACAAGAATCACCCCATTTCAGCCATATTATTCGTTAAAGACAAGCTTCCAAATGCAACCCTCTCCTACTTAGACTCTGATGGCAAGCTCTAAATTTCCACAATTTCCACTCTCACCTTCAATAAGAAAGCCATCCTCTTTACCATCTCTTGCACTTTCACCTGCAGATAAAATTCATGATTTGATTCAATTTTTGAAAATTCATGATTCAATAGAAAAAAAAATATAATCATCCAAAATCAAAGAACCCAAGGATACTGAATGAGTGAAAGGGAAGCCTTTCAAGGAGATTTACAAAGGTTGGTAAGACCGAGAGTGAAGTAGGGTGTGGTTGATCGTCAATAAAAAGAATCAAAAAGGTGGGTTAGAGCCCAATGGAAGTGATCTAGATTCTAGAGCCCATTCCTTTGCAAACCCTAGATCTTCATTTCTCTATTTGGGAGAGAAAGATGGATTGGAGCCAAATGGAGCAAAGTTGATTTTTTCCACACCACATCATGCCATGTCATTAACAATTTTGCTAAGTCA